CTATTTGGGAATTAAAAAAATGAACTATTTATAAGATATTTTCTTGGTTAAGTCGGCCAACACCCTTAGAACATCAAACTCTCTTCTTCAAGTCTTATTTTCCTCCATTAAAGGTTTTAATTCAAGCTCTCTCTCTCAAAATTTTCATAGGATTTCAAGTTGAAGTTTGAATGAGATCACCATCCATACTTAAAGAACTTCAATTTCAGGGTTTAAGGTGAGTTTCAAAACCCTAGTTGTTTTGATTTTTAGTTAAAAGAGAAATTCATAAGTGGTTATGTGTGTAAGGTATACTAAGGTAAGGAAAAAATCTCTCTTATGACTACAATCGATAACACCTAGGGTTGATGAAACTTACATTTATTTATGTTAATTTGAGTGTGATGCTATGTTTTGGTTATGGATTGTTTAAATGGGTGTGTTGATTGGTGTATGTGTGCATATGGAGGATATTTATGCCAATTAAGAGATTTGTAGTTGGACAATGTTTTGGCACTTTTTGGTTTTGTAAAAAATGAGGTTTTTATGGCAAATACTATGAATGTGCAAATGAACGTGACATGGTTAAAAATGAATAGAATTCGGATTTGGTTTTTTAAGACTTATACTATACATGCTTCACTGAATCAGTCATAACTGAAGTTATAAAAGTCTGATTGAGCTGATTCTTAAAGTATTAAAAATTTGAGAAATAGACCTAAAACTTTTATGTTTAGCAAAAAATCAATTCGAATTGGAAGATGAGAAAAAAATTGCTTGAATAGTGACGAAATGTATGGCATCCACCTCCTTAAGTAAAATTCCCATTTTTTTTTATAATTTCTAACAAACCACTAAATAATCTTAATGTTGAAATTCCTTGTGTTGTATGAGAAATCAAATAAATTAAGTTAATGAATTTAATAGGAAAATATTCATATCATGGAGTTTTGCTAAATTGATTGATGAATTGTGCAATTGGCTAAGGGTACATGTTAAATGAATTAATAGTATGATTGAGCATAGGAGATGTTATCCCATATGTTTGCATTCATAATGGTAATGCATATAGCTTATTTAGTTTATTTATGAAAACATTTATGAAATGTTAAAGAATGAATTCCATGAGTCTCTTAAGGTATAAACCAAGATCAGAGGAATGAAATCTCTGTGGAAACCATGAGTCCTTTGAGGTGACGACCAAGAACAAGGTAATGGTTCAAATGAATTCGATCGGATAATAAAGACTAATGAAAACATCAAGTATAAAGATAAAAGAAATAGGCATGCTATGTTTATGAATATTGCATAAGTCATATATGTTCTATGTTATATTATATATGGTTATGTTATGACTTATGTTTATGAGGAAAGTCCAAAGCGTATAACATGTTTTATGAACTTGATAATGTCAATGAATGAAGGTCATGTCTTGTAGGTAGGTAAAGGTAAGGTCCTGAGTAATATGCTTGTATAATAAACCTTAATAGTTTATAAAAGGTCATATTTCCTTACCGAGTGATTAGCGCTCACCCCACGAAATTTTTTAAAATGTTTTGCAAGTAAAGATTGAAGCTTGAAGCTGGGAGAGGCTATTGGGGAATGACATGCGCATGAAGGAATGCTTTTGCTATGTTTTGAATTTTTGTTGTAAAATAACATCAAATGGTTTTTAGTTTATGAATGTTGAAGTAAATATGTTTTAATAAACCTAGTATGATCATTTCCTTGTCAAATGAATGAAAAAGGTTAAATGATATTAGTAAATGATATTATATACTTATGATAATAACTCCGTAGGAAGCTAAATTTCTTGAATCATTTTATGGATATGGGATGTTTAATATCACGCTTTAAATAAAAAAAAAAAAAAAAGACAAAACAGACAAAAGTATAGCTTTTAAAACAAACTCATTTCCTAGGCGTGTCTTTTCTAGGTTCTCAATTGCCACAGAATACTTAGGAAATACCCAGATAGGGAGGGGTTTTACAAAAAATCTCTTGAATTTTATAAATAATAGAAATTTCATACTGCTAATAAACCGTTAATGAACGTTAAAATTTATACTGCTATGAGTTAATAAATATTACCAAATTATCCTCCTACTATTTATTTTAACACCTAAAATTTAACGAAAAAATTATTCCTGTTATTTCTGAAACCTTAGGAGAATTTTGTCATTATATACCCTTCAAGGAACGTTTGGATCATATAATGTTTTATTATAGGGGGATGTTACATTAACGGAAAGATAGATCATCTTAAAGATTACTGGGAATGTTTAGAAAATGCGTTTGGTTGGTTTGAATAAATTGGTGAATAATATGTTTGGTTGGGAGAATAAATAGGTGGGCATGTTTTATAGATTACTAAATTGCTCTCATTTTTAAATATTAATATAATATTATTTTTTATTATTATTTTTTGAATCATTTTTTTTAACCCCCTACATTTGAAATTTTGCTAAAACTCTCCAGCCATATAAAACTTTAATTTGTAGCAAAATCACCTCCACTCCCCCCAAGCCATTGTCGCCAGCCAGCCACCACCACCGACCGCCGCCGGAAGTCGACGAAATGGCGCACAACTGGCTGTATATGGCCAGTCGTGTGTTGACAAAGCCATTTCCAACCATGGATCACAAATCCATGGCTGTTTCACGACCAAATCTATGACCATTTCACTGCCACAAATCTAGCCGTGAAAAGACCAGATCTTTGGCAGTGAAATGGCGGCCGTGAAACAGCCACATCTTTGGTTGTGAAACGGCCAGATTTGGCCGTTCCTAGTTGGTCAGAAAAGGTCTTACTGGTGGATGACCAGCCAGATCCCACCGGTCATGCACCATTAAACGATTGACGCCAGAGGCCAACGGTGGTGAGTAACGATCGGCGGTGGTCTTGGGTGGCTGGGGGTATTTTGTTAACTTTTAAATTTTTTTATGGTTGGGGTGTTTTAGCTAATTTCTCAAATGTAGAGGGCTGAGTAATTGTTATTTAGTAGACATTTGAGGGAAATTGTGTCAAAAATGATTTTTAATTAAGGGCAAAATAGGTATAAAAATCAGATTACCCAGTAATTTTTAATCCCAAGGCTGGGGGAGGGTATCGGATTATCCCACACATTACCAACAGTAAACACTATTTGCAATAAAAGATTCTCGTAATATTTTATTACTTGTAAATCAAACATTGGAATCTTGCAAAATAAACGAAGATTACCCCCGTTATCTTATATGCCCTCGCTCCAAACACACCCTATATATTAACAAACTCTTTTTCTCAATATCCTAAACCCTATATTTTTATTTTATTTTTTAATACTGTAATTTTAATTCTTTGTTTGGAAATTATGTATTCTTAATTAAATTATTATTATTATTATGATTTTTTGAAGAGATGGAAGATGGGTTCAAACAATGGAAATAAAATGATGAATATTCGCAGTTTTTGATTTAGGACATTCAGTTTAATCCTATTTAAACTACTTTTTAGTGTTTATAAGAGTTTGTATAAGAACTAGGTTGCCAAAAATGAAAATGGCGACTGAAATTTAACTCAGGAGAAAAAATAAGGATGATGGGGTTAACAAAGAAATTTGGAAGGAGAAATATTGGAGAAGGGCAATTATGTAATCAAATATGAAATATTAATAAATTCAACTTTTAAAATAATTTTAATTATTATCGAGGCTTAAAAAGAGAATTAGTGGGACTTAAATAATGTCTCTACACATAGAATTCATGAGATTGGATTTGATTTTGATTCAAACATTACTGTTTTATGAGAAAACTTTGTAATCTAAGTGTTTAAATTATTAATTTTGGTCAAGAAGGTGTATAGGATTCATTGATTTTATTTCAAGTTGGGTAGATAATTTATTATTTATGGAGAGATTATGTATTTCAAATTAAAGAACTGACATATTTGGTGGACAGTGGACTACCTATTAAGTACAAATAATTTATTTTTCCATCTAATGACAAATTAAAATAGTAGTAATAGAACTTTTTGAGTCTTCCATCGAGGCAAGAGTGAATAACAATTGCCCACCCAAGATTTGTCATAATTACATTTTCCCACCCATCGTCAATCTTGGTCAATGGAATCCGTTACACGAAATGACGAAAGGGTAAAGCTACGAACTATTTAACTTTATAATTTTTAACTAGACTGAATAGCACAAATAACATTTTCCCATCCAAACTTTATTAAATATATTTTTCACCCTAATTTGTTAAAATTAACTTTTGAATTTAACGATGGTGGGAAAATGTCATTATCTCGGAGGCAATTCTCATTAGTTAATATTTGATTAGTACGTAGTTTAATGTTTGGCATATGTTCAAAGATTCTGATTTCTGACATTCCACTGATTCGCATTTGAACTGTGTTAAATATTTTATTGTTGATCTAAATTAAGTATAATTATATGAAAATGGTTTTGGTTGTCTCAATCACAATAAAAATGCAACTATATTCTAATATGTATGAGTTTTCTATAATTACATATGAATAATATTTATAATGAATCTCGCAAAACAAGAAATACGTGTAACATTTAAGCCTACTATATGTGCATGCTAGTACTCCCCATTTTTCTTTTTTAGACCAAGGTTGAATATTAATATTTGAGACGTGTAATATATGATCGATCTCCAGCTTGGTCCTCACACGTTATTTACATTTTTAATTTCAAATATTTTAATTTTGATACCATATTAAGTAATCGAAATTCTTATATGAGGACAACTTAAAGTATTTAACGTACCAATTTGTAAAATTGTCGACAATTTAACATTAGAAGATAAACATTTCTGACTTAGAATTTTTTTTTGTCCACTTTTGATATAAAACTGTCCATAGTTTTACATATTCACACAAACACAATATATATATAACACTCCACTTCAAATTTGCAATGCACAAAGTACAAGCAAAAATAAGAGAGACCCAAACCAAAAAAAAAAAAAAAAAAAGGTAAAGCAAACCCTTTCATTTTCATCTTCTATGGTCCTAAATTGGCTAAACAAAGGCATACACAGGAAGTACACATATTTATATAATTGATCTGTAGCTAGCTCAGTCATCGCTCTTGCCTTTGAACCCCACAAAATTATTAGACATTGGAGGAATCCCTTGTTGATTATTAAACACATTGTTTGGATCAATAATCGTTTTAGCTTTAACCAATCTATCATAATTTTTCAAGAAGTATTTTTCACCCCAAACTCTGGCAATTTCCACAGCATCCTCAGTTTGAACACTAGAATTAATCAATTCCATCTCTCCCAAATCAGTATCCATGTAATTAATATAAGCACACCTTGGCCCCCATGACACAAATTGTGTCATTTCATTATAAAATTCCCTTGCCCAGTCAATGTATTTCTTGCTCTTGTCATTGTCCTCTTCATACCATGCCACCAAATATTGAATTGTAAACAAATTGCCTTTCCTGTGAGGAAATGCAATTTCTTCACTACTTATTCTCTCCATAATTCCACCATAAGGGTCTAAAATCACATACCCTTTTGGCTCTTTTTCAAGAATTTCTAGTAATGAACTTATCCCCGTGGCTGAAATTGGAGTTTTGACATAATCTGATTTGGCCTTGAAGTAATTCTTGTCTTGTAAATACCTGTTTTTCAAGTCTAAAATTGAGCTTCCTTTACTTAACCCAGAGAAGAATAAAATTGACTCAATCCAACTCATTTCTTTGCAATCTTCTTCTCCAAGTTCCACCTCAGGAAAAACTTGGTTTATAATTGATAAAGCTTCATTTCTTGCACCAAGAAAAAACCCTTTAAATGTAGCTGAAAATTTCCCGATTTCTTCAGCCTCGGGCAATCCAGTTCCCACAAAACATGATATGTAAAATTCACCAGCCAATTTGGGCGCTATTTGTTGCCATTTGTTTACTAAGTTGGCAACATGGTGTTTCATGCCTGGCCTAGAAATGATAAAACTTGTCACAGTTTGTGGCACTTTGACCAATTTTATTTTCCAAGCATAAACAATGCCCCAAACTCCTCCACCTCCTCCTCTAATGGCCCAAAACACATCTTCTCCCATGCCTTCCCTATCCAATAACTTTCCATTTGCATCAACAAGCAGAGCATCCACCACATTATCAGCTGCAACCCCATATTTTCTCGACAACAACCCGAACCCCCCACCGCCAATGTGCCCGCCAACCCCCACCGTCGGGCAAGACCCCGCCGAGAATCCATGGACATTACTCGCCTGCGCGATGGCATAATACGTCTCGCCAAGCGTTGCGCCGCCTCCAACCCAAGCGGTTTCCGACGCCAAGTCCACCGCCACCTCGTTCAAATTTATCATATCAATTATTACAAACGAAGCTCCATCGCTTGCGAACGCGGACGTTCCTTCATAGCTGTGTCCCCCACACCTAACCCTAATTTCAACGGACAAGTTTCTGCAGCACAACACTGTGTTGGATATTTCCTCAACGCTCTTCGGCAAGATAATAGCAATTGGTTTCGGGACCGAAGTGTCAGTAAACCGGAGATTTTGAATGGAAAAATTCAGGAGCTCGTAGTAATAAGTTGAGGAGTTGTTTGTTTTGGTGGGAAAGGTGGTGAAGTTGTTGATGTTATAGTGAGTTAAACAAGAGATGAATTGGTTTGTTGAGGAAGCAAAAAGAGAAATAGGGTTTGATAAAAGGAAGCAGAAGAAGAAGAAGAAGGAGAAGAGAGGAAAAGGGTTGGTGAGGGAGGTATCCATGGGCATGGCGATTGATAGTTTGGAGAAGGAAGTCAATGGTGGGGAGTTAAATGCAAAATAAGAATCACTTTAACGTTGAAGACAAAGGGAAGGGAGAGACGAAGAATACGTAAATGCAAATACGTGGCCGCCATTGATTTAATATTTGCAAGTTTAGCGAAGTGGAACTCCTTCATATTAATGCAAACAGTCAATTTAATCATTGAAACTCGACAAAAACAGACGATTGCATGAGAGAAATGACACAGAATTTGTATTCTATTTCTAACCGAGTTTGCTTATACAATTAATTACGTGATTTTATGATCAAGTATTAGAAAGATTGGACTAAATTTATCTAAGTTATGTTACCAAAATATATGAAGATAAGATCGGTTTAAGTTACCATAAAAGGATTTTCAGACATATTTTATTTATTAATGGTTTAACAATACTAGTAAACCACTATAAGATATAAGTTCAATTAAATTTTCCCCTATTGAAAATTATACTGGGAGACCCTTTCAACCACCCATGTGCCCCTCTATCCATCCGACTTTATCGATTTTATATAATAGAAGTTTGGATTTTCAAATAAATGTTGAAGTCTACCCATGAAAACTTTTTTCATATACGTAATGATCAAACTTATACTTTTATCTGTTAATATCATATCACTAAAAACGCAGTTTATGAAACAGTATTTAATATTTATATGCATGTCACTTGAGATTATTAGAGGTTTAAATTAGAAACTGTAAAATTTTCTCTTTTGGATTATCAACGTACGCCATTTAAAATTTTGTCACTTGAGAATTTTAATTTTTTATGTAAAAATTTTGTGCTCGTATAGGATATATACTATGAATACATTTTCACAAACTACATATCATGGATATCCTTATATTTGTTCATTTACAGTAAAATCTCAAACTCAGAAGAGAATTTGGATAAGGAAAAGGGGATTAGGGTTGGAGAGAAAGAGAGAGTAAAGTTTTATATATATTTATCAATGAATGCCGGCCAACCATAAAAATCCAAGGCCTGCCAACGTTTGTATTCAGTTGAGACATATATCTTTGTCCATCCACATCCACAATTGCTTCATTTTTTTAAGACAGCGGCGCTGTGTTTGATAGCAAGTTTAATCTCTTGCTTAATGCTGTGTTTAGGTAGCTTTTAGTTATGTACTCATCCGTGGGCAGTACAGATGCTAAGGGTGAATTGAGAATAATGTGGATAGGTGTACGATCTCAGGTTCGATTCTCTATCTGAGTATCCGTAATTTAAGTGGAGACTGTGACAATCAGTTGTTGCGATAATCTCTTTTGAGAATAAATCGAGCTGTCAGTAAACTTTGAGTTTTGTCCCTTCAAGTTTTCTCAGTCTTTACTTTGATGTGGGTTTATATAATTAATTGATTAATTAGCTATTGGTTTAGAAACATGGTTGTATTACATTAGTATCAACCTCCTCAAGTTTAAATAATTTGATATTCAGGAGAGAAACATATTCCGTTTAATGTACTTTTTGGGTGACGTTTTCCTTCTTGTTATAAATAGCAGTCCGAAATAACAAGAAGAATTAGAAAATAATAATAATTACACACTAAACTATTAAACAAAAACCTGTATAAATTAAAACGAAGAAGATGTTTCCTTTGTCCGTCTCTAATTATCTAAAAATACAAAAGGGAAATTATTACTTTAAATCGGACAACTTGACCTTTTTTCTAATTTTTGATTGGACCATAAAGAAACGTTATCCATGAATTATAGAATTAACTATATAATACTAATAATCAATCAATTTCGTCAAAGGTTTTTTTTTTTTTTTTTTTTTTTCTTTAATAAAAAACAAGGATTGAAAGTGAGATTATACGAATCCATAAGCTTGATAAAGTAATTTCTCAAGATCTATTTATTCATCTAATAATCAATTAGAGTGGCCCTACTGTATCTTCATCTAATAATCTTAGAATGATAATATCTCTTTACCTATCACCAAGTATTATCACATCTTCATCAAAAATCAAGTCTAGAAAACGTTGTCAACAACCTTACAAATTTAGAAGATCTTATCTTAATATAATTTGAGGTGGGTCGACTCCTCACCAATAAGACCTTTTGAATGAGAGGATATCCCATCTTATAAACCAGTAGACTTGAGCTGCCTAGTGATGTGGGATCCAACACTCTCCCTCACGGTAGCTCATATATTGGGTCATGTATTATTAGAGGTAGTGTGGCTTTAACTCCTACCCGTTTCAAGTACTCAACTCAACTGAACATTGCTCTGATACCATAATAGAATTTGAGGTGGTCTGACTTTTACCCAATAAATTTGTTAATAGGAGGATTAACCCCCTCTTAAAACCATAGATCTAGCGTGCCTTGTAGTGTAGACTCCAACATATCTTGATGATGAAATTGATATTAATAATGTCCTTTTGAAGTTGTTATCATAATGTTGTGTGATTGCTCTTTTCCCTAAACTTCTTCAATCTAGCCACAATTTAAAAGATGGTTCATTTACATGGTGTTTTTTGTGCAATATTTGGTTTAGATTAATACCTAATAACATCAATCAAAACAATATCAAAAAACAAAGTAATGGGACAGAACGAGACGAAGGAAAGAAAAACCAGATTTTCGGTTTTGCATCGATTTCGGTTTCTCGCTTGTTGCACCCGCTCGAAACTTTAAAACACAATTACAATATTTTATCAATATAATTATTGAAAAGTATTTTACTACAAAGGATAAAACAAATTTCATAAAGTCTAAGAAAATTTTAAAATATTTAAGAAATTCAAAATAACTTAACTAAAAATACATTATAATACATATCCATATATAGTATTAATTTAGTAATATAATCACATAATGATAAGTAAAAAGTAGGGGTAAGCACGGGTAGCGGGTAGAACCGGAACCAGGGGTAGAATCGAAACCGAAACTACACGGAACCGGTACTGTGGGGTAGGTTCCGGTTCCAATTTTTTGGAACTGATACTATGCGGTTCCAGTTCCGGTGCTTGTGGGGGAGGAACGGAAAGGAACCGAAACTGTAAAAAGGGTACCCTGTTTGGAACCTATAAGGGGTACCCGGTTGGAACCGATTTTGGAACCTGTTTGGAACCTGTTGGAACCTGTTTTGAACTTGTTTTGGAACCTGTTTTTATAACCGTTTGGAACCTGTTTTGAAACCTGGACTACAATGAATATTTGGAAATGTGAATAATGGAGGGTTTCTATTATTTTACATATAAAAAATTTAAAATAGAAAAAAGTTAAATTTTTAGAATAACTAATTAAAAATATACGAACATTATAACTTATTACAATAAATTACACCATATTAAAAGCTTATATAATATATACATTAAATTAAAGTTTTGATTATTAAGTGAATAATTGGAATATGATCCAATTAAAAGTGTTTACATTTTAATGTTATTAAAAGAATTATTTTGAATAAAATAGTATATTGATTGAGTAATAATATATTTAGTTATTTACTTCAATTATCAAGTTCTAAGTATATCTATAATAAATTAGTAATTAATTATTAAATGATAAATTGATAAACATAATAAATTTAATACTAGTTGAATATCTATACTTAATCAATTAAACATTACTTATAGTTAAATGATACTTAAATAATTATAATTTTTATATTTACTTATTGATTTTAGTATAATAAATTATAGCATACATTAATTGATTACTACTTAATTAATTGACTTATAAGTTATAACATTTAATATATTACTTAATTAATAATTAGAAATTTAATTAATCTATAAACTTACATTATAGATTATAGTATAATTACTTAGTCAATTATAACATTTATTATAAACATAATACAAACTTAATTAAATGATTAAAAATTTAATTAATATATATTACATTAAAAATTTATAGTATGATTACTTAATAGTAATTCACTAAACATTACATATAGTATGATTATATAATTAATTATAACATTACATAATTAAATGATTACTAATTGATTATGACATTATATTACAAATTACTATTACTAATAATTTACTACATAAACATTAGTATAATACTTAGTAAATTATTAAGAATTTAATTAATTACAACATTACATATAAATTTATAGTACGATTATGTAATTAATTGTATCTTACATTATAATAAATGATTACTTATTAATTATAATATCTATTATAAACAAATTAATTATAAATTATATTAAATAATTATAGTAGGTTACTTAATTCATTGTAACATTTCACTATTTCATTATAGGAGATTAGTTAATTACATAATTAATTAAACATTATATAATATATGATTATTTAATTGATTATGACATTATATTTAAAACATTAATTATAACATTATTACATTACATTATATTATGATTACTTAATTAATTATGTATTACATAGTTAAATGATTACTTAATTAGTTATAATTTATAACATCACATTATAAACATTAGTAATTTATTACATCTTAATAAATGATAAAATTTAATTAATATATAATAACATTAAAGATCATATCTGATTACTTAATTCACCTAACATTACATTATAGTATGATCATAATTAATTATAATATTACATAATTAAATTATACTTAATTGATTATGAGTTATAATATTATGTTAAAAATAGTAATACTAATTAATAAATAAACATTGAATAAACTAATAAATGATTAGAAATTTAATTATTATAACATTCCTTATAACATTTCATATAAACATTAATTAAACATTACATTATAGTTAAATAATTACTCAATTAATTATAACATATTATATTACATTATATTATGATCACTTACTTAATTATAGCATTACATAGTTAAAATGATTATAATTAGTTAGATTATAAACATACATTATAAACATAGTAATTTACTATATTATTACATTATTTAATTAACGATTTAAAATTTAATAATTATAACATTACTTATATATTATAATATGATTACTTAATCATGAAACATCCTTATAACTATTAGTATATTAAT